AAATGTGTATATAATATCTATTTATATGTGTATATATTTTGGTGTATATTTATAAACGTAAAAACATATTATTAAAAATTACACAAAGCTTAAATATTTCTCACATTCTATAGCTCACATTTTGTATACGCTTGAAAACTCATATCTGTTAGTATTAAATTCTAGATGACTACCAGTTGGTTGAGGTGGTAGATCCTCAAAAGTATAAGCCAGTAGAGCTCCATCGTTATCATGTACTGAGTAGTTGAGATCATTATTTGCTCCAATCAAATTACCGCTGTAGTCCTGGTTAGAATATGTACATGGATTTGTAATACCTTCAGATTCCACCAGACTGTTGTCTATACTGCTACTACAAAAGCCAATGTGTGGCGAATGTGTAGATGTTAGGATGCTACAATCGCTGTCTTCGGTCGTCGATGGAATTGGGTTGAATTCTTCATTTTGGAATGTATTCGCTCCATAGGTAACTGGACTATTATGAATTTCAATGTTCATTGTAACTGTTTGTGGCCGCAATGCGTAGAATGGCTGATGGGGTATACTTTCGGATCCACAGTCTTCGGCAAAACACTCCTGCGTATCTGGCACATAGGGGGGTAAGTGATGGCTAGCCGAATGCAAATTTGCATCGTTCACAATATTTTCTTCAGAATCAAATACGGGCTCTCCAATATTCTGACAATCACCAAAATTTGGCTGGACGTGTTGGCTAACGCCCTGACTAATACACGATAAGTTCGTTTCTAGAATTGCGTCTTCAGTTTTTTGCGGATTATCAAAGAATTGAAGAAATGTCAAATTCTCTTGCGTGATAAGGGCATTATTGTTATCCGATACATTTTCCAGTTTAACTATACTATCGCCCGAATGAATACCGGAATCGATTCGATTATTTGTTTGTACAAATTCGGCTGACTGGAGATTTACATAATCCTTTTCCGGTGGGAGTACAACTTCAAAAGTACGGGAGGGGGTCTTTATATCATTATTACATTTTACATTATCACCTGAATCATTTTTTAGACGTTTTGACAACGCACTAGATTGACAAGTAGAGGTAGATCTTTTGTTTTTCCGACCGGCAGTACATGTTCCATTTATTGCAACAGGTGTCGTCATATTCTGTGAATCCTGCTTAACATCGATATCTATATCCTGATTTTGCTTTAAAACGACTGACGATCTTGATTGTTTTTTTTGTGGCCTATATTTATAATTTGGATATTCTATCATATGAAGTTTTCGCAGCTTTTCTGCTTCGATAATATATGGCTGTTTATCGTCCTTGGATAAAAGCTGCCATCGTCTGCCTAGTTCCTTAGAAATTTCAGCATTATGCAAGTCTGGCGTTTTTTCGCATATTTTCCGTCGTTCCATTTGACTCCAGACCATGAATGCATTCATTGGCCTTTTTATATGGCCAGGAGAATGTTTTTTTGTCTAAAAGATAAGAATTATATTTTTAATTTCAATTGGTAAATAAATTAATTTAATATTTAATATAAATGTATATTTATTATAGATAATGATTTAAAAATAACTTAGACTCAAGGTATTTTTTTTCTATTTTAGATTAATTAGATGTTATAACTACTATTTTCAGTTGAAGTCAAATTATTTTAATAAAAACATATATATATATATGTATATATACCCACAATTTATATTCATAAAAAAAAAATAAAAAAAACTTAACTACCATTAAAAGAGAAAAAACACAAACGTGTTTATCAAAGATGTTTCCCTTTCCCACTATAAACAAAAAAGTAAATAAATAAATATAATTCGTGCTTTTTAATTAATTTTGTAAATTGTAAATTGATTTGCCGCCATGTGGCAATCGTTAAGTGGGAAACATGGCTTTTGGCGAAATAAAATCGGAGCAATTGCTGCTGCTGGTTTTTATTGACTCAACGAGAGAGAGTTTATTGCTATTATTATTAGAAGCTTACGACATATTGATACCCTGTACCCAATGCTTATCTACAAATCTATAGATAAGACCGTCATTGTCCGATAATGTTAATCTATTGCCGATATTTCACCAGACATATTGGCAGTACACAGTATCCCGACTTGTGTTTTGGAAGAATGCATTATTATTCACATAAACATCGCAGTTTAGTTCTGGTTTAATTTAAAAAATTTTCTTGATTTCTTGAATACCACACTTATGAAACAATAATTTTCGAATTCTTGATAATTCACTTCTCACGACGTTTGCAAAGAAAATGTATATGATACATCTTTCATATATTATATATGTACATATATGAATCTTCAATATATATATATTGATCTAAGCAAACAATTTAACGGCAATTTTTAAAATATTTATTATTTACTTTAATAATGATTATATTTAATATCCAGTCTTTAAAAAACATCTTTAATTAGAATCTACAAGAATAAAAATGTATTAATTAAATTGAGACTACAATTTTTTTTATATATGATACAAATGTAGAATGTGTGGGAACTTAGCCGATAATTATTTAATGCTTTATAAATGAACACATTAAAAAAAATAATAATAAACTAAATTATGGAGCAAATATTAAAACAAAATTCTTTTAATAATTACAATTAATTATATTTATTAATGTTTGCCTTAATGAAATGGAAAAATAACAAATTTATAATTGGTAATACCATAACAACTTTTCAAAATCTTAAAATCTAAAATTATTTCCTAATGAAATCAAAGATTAAGCCAAAATCGCAAAATTGCGAAATTGACAAAACGAAAACCACTTTAAGAAAATTAATAACGGAACAGACGTCATTTAAGCATAATGTGTATGACTATATACAAAATGCACAGACTACATATATTATGTATAGATTGTGTATATCTGTATATATTCTAGTCCACTAAGCGCAATGTCGCACTGCTCGAGTGAACAACCTTTTTATTAGAGTCCAAAAAAAACACACTAGTAATAGCGTTAACTACGACCTTGAAGCAGTTCGTGAACCCCAAGTTCAACCAACCAATATAGCCAGCGGCAATGACGCCGACGCCGACGCCGACGCAACAACAACAACATCAGCAACAAGAGCAGCAGCAGAACCATCCGCAGCATTGTTGTGTTAGCTCAAACGAATGGGATATGAAGCAAATGGAGAGGTGGACGCAGACGTTTTGCTACAGCGGCCATTGACATTACTTTTGCACTTGCTAAAATGTGACTCTAAATTATTGATTTACATTCTTGATGTCTTATATGAATCTAACCAAAACACAAACATGAACGCCAGAAGCCAGACAGTTGATATACTATAATTTAATGGATGCACGCACAGATATACACATGTACGTATGCACGTACATACACTCAAACAAATATATAAAACTACTCTTATACGCTTAATGGGAATGCATGACTTGTGTTTACATAGAAATACATACATATGTACATATCTTTAATTTAAATATTAACACCTTTGCTCGTAAGACACATGCTGCGCATTTTATAATTTTTTTTCTTTTTAAATAATATAACGAAATTACTATCTAAAAATGAACGAAAAATATATGTAAACAAATCTATATATAAAATATTTATATACATACATATATACATATAAACACCTATTTTTCGCACATACATACATACATATGTATACTCTTATCAGTTAAACGTTTCATTGACCTCTTCTATCGGATTGGCATCCGTTCTGCACCTACGAAATTAACAAAGTTTCTTACACATACATATATGCATATATATGTAAATAGAAATAAAGTTCAGACACTCTTAAAGCTAGACAAAAAATTCGGTTCATAAGAACCAGACATTTTAAATGCGCTTAATGTACACATAGTGCATGACGCATTCAGAATTACGAAGTTAGCGGGAAATATATGTACATACATATGTATGCGTGTATTTTAAAGCTATTTCGACAGATAGAAATGCACTAAAATTGCCACTTCAGATAAATGATTAAAAGTATATGAAGAATTTCATATGAAGCAGAAACTATTCTTGGGTATAAATACACTAAAAATGCCATTTAAACTGTCGAATGGTTATATGTATTTATATGTATGTATGTATGCATATACATATGTAAGTGAACGAAGCCAGCTTACAAATAAATTACATTTTAGTTGAAATGTTGACTGTATATGATTAAATATAAGTAGAAGAACGCCATCTTTGGCAGAATCGCTAGACTAAATGTTATCTCAATAAAAATGATTTTCATGCAAGGTATAAAAATGCAATTTTTGTTTAATTTTAAATTGCTTATTCTGATTGAACATGCATACATACATAAGTATGTACGTATGTATTCCTATTGTGATTTTACTTACTTGAGTTGCATCTGAATACGGAGTACTTGAGTTAGCTGGAACAAGTGCAGATCCAAAAACCGTTGGAGATCTTTTAGTTTTAATATGATTTTCATAGTTTTCCATTTTAGTTGTTTATGTGTGGCCAAAGGCTGGCACGCCTTTATTTTTAATTTTTTAAATAATTTATATTCCGTCGTTAGTTTATGAATCGTTTGTGGCACTGTTGGAACGATAAATAAAAAAAATTAATTGGAGTTAGTTTTGTGACTGTGCGTGATCTAGATCAGTTATATTATTAATAGATGCCTGGATCTGGGATCTGGGATCTGGACTAGACAGTTATTTGCATTTCATTACATAAAAATAATGAAATATCTACGTATTTATATTTGCATGAATGTATATGTATGTTTGAATATACATAGGTGTATGTATGAACATTCATTTCCTTTTCAACATTACTGCATGCATTCATATGTATATGTATATGGATATTACATACAAATGTACAAATCTATATGTATATAAATGCACATACATAAATGAGAATGCAAGTAGAAGAACAAGTATGGAACGATTTGTTTATATGTACTTATATATAAATGCGCACATACATACATATATATATACTTTATATATTAATTTAATTCCGTTTTTATGCACTTGCATATATGTATATACATATGTGCATACATATATACATATATGTATATATACATATATGTATATATATGTATATATATTCTATGTGTATATATATTTACATTTTACATATACATATACATATGTACATACACTTATGTGCGTATATATGTACATATGTATGCACAAGTTTATTCATTTTTTCTCTTGATCGCTCAAATGCAAGTTGCGGATATATTTTTGATCGTCCTTATGTACACTTGTATATGTTCATATTGTATATGTATGCAGTTGCCACTTGTACATACTGCGTATGCATGTATGCATTTTGACTCAAGGTGAAACTGGTTCCTTATTTTCTGTTCGCAATGTTCAAAGACTCACGTTCGAGTTTTGTCTGTGGCAATGAGTTTATTTTATTTACATGTACACTCACACACACACACATACACACACACTCACTCACTGACGCACACACATGCAGGCATGCACACATGTGTATATGCATGTACATATGTGCGTTAATACATGTTTAAAAATTTGTATACTCTTATGGAAACATATTTAAAAATCACAGATGCACGAACATACACATAAGTATGTATGTATTTATATTTATGTACACACATAGTCATATATATTTGTGGATTTACTTGCTCAAATCTGTTATATTTTATTATAATAATATTATATGTATGTATGTATGCATATACATTTGTTGTTGCATATGTTTATAAGCAATGACGTTTTTGAATCGCGTATCAAGAATCAAGAAAATATACAAATACAAACGCATGATAACTACGCTTTTCTTTTAATCCATGTACATTGGCATATAAAACAGTGCGTAGATTAAACACAGACAAATCACAATGAACATGCAGGTAAATTATAATTTAAGAATGCTGAGATTTAATCACTTTATACTTTACATACAGCCAATGAATGTATTATTTATACGCAAAAGTATATACGTGCATATATCTGCATTAAGATTAACACTTGTTGCTAAATTAGGGACATTAAAATGTTGTGGCTTTTAATTTGTTTTGTTTAGTTTTGATTTTATATTTGGTTTTAGTTTGGATTTGTATATCATCTGCGTATTAACGTTATCGAGGCTACGACGGAGCAGAACACATATTGCGACCGACTGCTCCGCGGCAAAGTCGGAGCATTCTGGCTCAATTGAATCTTAGCGCCAAGTGCCAGTGCAAGAAGCACAATCACAAAGCAGCGAACTCGACGAACACGAACCGATTGAGATACGAGTTGAATGTGACGAGAAACTACATTCATACGTACGTTCATACATTCATACGAACGTCTGTTATACATAAGCACGTAAATAAATACATACATAGATGCATACATACACACAAATACACTACGCAAATTACTTTAGGTTGTTGTTTTTTTTAACGCTCTTTAGATATACACACACGACGCTGTATTCACATACATATGTACACACGTTTATTTATTTATATTTGATTCGTCAGAATTGTTTTTTTTTTGTCTCTGTCTTTTTATATGTAAGTTCATACATATCTTTATGTTTTTCGTATAAAAATACACATACACATATGTATGTATACTCAAATGTACATGTATTATTGTATAGTCCCTAAGCTTATTCGTTTATGATTTGTATTAAGCGCTGAGGTCGTCGTCGATCGCTTACAGCTGTTCAAATGAACTGCTTTGCAAAGTTGATGTCTTGAGTTCCTGCAGTATTTCCCATATATAAATACATGCATGTATATGTACATACATTTATATTTATATATTATGTTTATACTTATAATTATTTATATATGTACTGTATATGTATATATTTTTAAATATATACATACACACATCCATCAGTTATACTGCTTTGCAAACTTATATTCATGCATACATATATCTGTTTGTATACATATATAAATAAAATCACGCACACATATAAGCAATACAGTGTATTGTGCATTCGCTCGCTTGCATATTGTTGACGGAGAGGCGAGAGACCACAACTGAGAGGATTGTGCTGCTCAACTAAAGTGAACAGTAGCGCAGTGCGGTTAATTATTGGCCCATAAACGACAGTTTTATTTCTTTGATACATATAAAAAATTTCACATTTAACATGTTTACCTTACAATATATGCTTATTTATTTACAATTAAATGTATAGGCGCGTATTTAATTACAATTATACTGATATACCTCATCTAAAATCTCAGTGACAATTAAAATGCGGCCCTGGTACTTTATGATATCAACAGTTTTAGTAATTGTTGCAGCTGGCTTTGCCAATGTGTGCGTGAGCACCAGAGCTCAAAAGAATGCCCATATGGTGTGAGTCTTTATAAATACATATTCACATATGTATATCAATGTGTGCTTATATACAAACATTTGGTTCGAATGAATCAGCTGTTCAATGCGTATTAATCATATGGTTATATGACATGCCCTCGACAGTGTGTGTATCTACATGGTTGTGTATGTACGTATGCATGTATTCAATCATGAAGGCAGTAATGGGGAAATAATATATGTATAAACACATCCAATCTGATAAAATTGTAAATGCATTTGAATGTCTTTGACTCAAAACATCTTATGTTATAAAACTAAAGACTTTTAGAAACTTAATTCTATAATGAGGATATTGCGCACAATAAATTTTATACAAGTCATTTATATACATACATACATATGCATATTCGTAAGTTTATATATTTATGTATGTATGTGAATGTTCCTTGATCATTTTTGTTTATCAATACTTATGTTAAAATGTTGAGAAAATAATAAATAAGTTGAGTGTAAACAATAAATTCCCGTCAACTTGAATACTTTTGTATACATTTATAAATATGTCTGCATATACAAATTTTAATTTATACAAAGTATGTCGGCATATATGTAGGTACATATATAACAATATTGAAGTCAAAATGCATGTATAAGTGCATAATCATTAGGCAATTAGGAAAAATGTACCGAACGCAGCACCAATACATTTTATTTATTTATTTTTTCATTTGCATATTTCATATCATTACCATAACATCGAAAGGAATCGATTTTTTCGACCTGAACGATCATTAAAGCTAGAGACATCAGAATTGTTTTATCTCTCCTTAATTTGAAAAGAAAACAATATTATATATTCTAAACTCATTTTGTGCTGGTAGTGCTTAAAACCGTATTTACATTTGCCTTACAGCTTACGCGGGACTCTGCTACCAGCATGACGGCATTCAATGCTCTTCCGCAAAAGAAACACGGTCAACTTTGCGGAAGCGTCTCCAACGTGTACGGAATAGTGTTTTTAATACGAGTACAGATAAAATGCTGACGTTTGCTCACTTAAATTGCTTAGCAGTACCATCAGAACTACCTTTTGCATTTGCGCTGTAGCATCTAACCTAGAAGTCCGCTTACATTCCGGATAACTAGTTGATCCCTTACCTATTACAATCTCTCACAAGCCAGTCCCTCCTAAGCTTATACATAGTTCCAATTAGAATTTATGTGAAAAGTACGTTTGTTTTTATAGATCATAATTTGAAAAATTATAATTTAAGATTTCTCTAGCACAAAAGTAAATTTTTACCAATCTAGACTGTAAAACAATAAAAGACATATTATTTATATACATTATTAAACCGATTTAACACACAAAGTTTACAGATATTTTTATTAATTCTAATATTAAATACAAAATATTGGCAAACAGAAATTTAAAAGTCTAAAACTAAATACAATATAGTGGAAAAATAAATTTGACTGTTATCAAAAAAAATCATACATAACGTTAACGAAAGCAATAATAACAGGAGACGAATTCAATTCATATTTGTATATTTTTTATCATCTTCTTCGCCAACTTCTAGCATAATTTGCATGATTTTACGTTTAAGCTTTTTCCGTGAAATCATTGAGTTTAGATTACGAAATTCATTGGCTATCAATTCGCCAAATGCATCCCACTGATCACGAACACCTGGCCTCGGAACTTCCATGCAATTTTGCTTTTCTACATGCGTGGAAATTGATGAAAAGCTTTTGCAATGTTTTGATGTAGAATTTTGTTGTACTTCGCACGGTTCAAGTTCTTTTACAACTCGATTATTTGACTGCTCGACACTTAAATTTGGTAATTCTTTATTTTCCTCTATCGGGCTTTCCGCAGGTTCCTGTTCGGTATTTTCATTATAGGATAACTTAATGCTATTTACAGATTTCTGGAAAATGAAAAGGGTAAACAACTATTATTTATTTGATTATTGATATCAATAAGAAATACCTTGCTTTGTGGTTGATAGCCCGGTCGGGGCTCAATGATAGGTCGCAGAAACATTAAGGTTTCAAAATGCTCCCAACGACATGTTTTTGTTGATGCATTTTTCGCACCACCCATTTTTTCCAAACGTCTTTCATATTTCTTTAATTCTGAATTGAATTGATTTCGCAGATTATGCACTTTTTTACCATAATCAATTTTTGAAATTTCCAGTGTTTTACATATCCGATCTATTGCTTTATTTCGACAATCCTTGTTTTTGTACAATTCCGAATAATGGTTCCATAAACAATCTGATGCACGATACAGCTCAATTAGTTTATAAATCTTTTCTCTTGTCCATATTGTTGGCTTGCGACGCTGACGTCCTTTCTGTTTCACAGTTGTAGAGCTGAGTGCCATGTCATTTCTGTATTACAGACATTCCTCTAGCTAAGAATTGGATAAAATTATTCCAAGTAAACTTTTATTTATTGTTACAGTAACATATTTGTTATTGGAGGCACACATTTTATTAGCTGTTTCCACTACGCACATCCATATCTGAATCTACTATGCATATATATCGATAAGTGTTTTCAAGGGCGAATGTATTTTACACATTAAGATTCTGATATTTCATACATAATGTTATTTGTTAATAGCAATTAAATTTGAAAGTCACATTTAGATATTTGCATTAACACTATTTACATTTATTTATATGAATAAGAAATAATCGATGACATACTTGAAATGCGTATCGAAGTGAAATTTATTAATTTTGCTCATATATCAATAACAAATAATATTTTCAAATTAAAATGTATTTAAATGTAAGTAAACCGAAAAATGAACACGTCAGATTTTAATTTTCCGTTAGCGAACAAATTTATGTCGTTCCTCGAAAATGTGGATAGTGTAAACGGCTAGTGAAGATATAGCTAGTGTAGATACTCCATAAACTAAAATCTTACATACTGTAACGAGTAATCGATATATTTTTATCGCACTCCGTTTATTGTCGACAGGATATAATTAAAATATATGAAAGAAGTTTTTATATTATTTACTATTTATGTGTACGTATCGTCTAGTGCATGTGTAAATCTAAAATCAAAATAGTACGATAATGCATTTTCCGTTCTAAAACAATGGAGATTTGTTTATAATCAGAATGGCCGACGCCCACGCCCACGCCCATCGAATATTTTAATGTTCAAAAAATTGTACCTCTGGTAAATTTAAGTGCCTTTAATTGCAACACTGCGTATAAAAACTAAAAGCAATTATATATTTGTAAAAAAATTTACTTGCAGATATAAAAATAAATCCAGTTTTGACTAAGAAAAAAAAAAAAAATATAATAACGAAAGCGTAATGTCACAAATAATTCCAAACACACCCACGCCTCAAATGCTGACGACATCAACAATAGCCCCAGTCGAATCAGCAAAACCTCAACTCACTTTTCCATCTCTAGTTGATGGCGCTCACGGAAATAATCTTCTGGCCCCGGCCCCAGATGTAATACTTAGAGCCTCAACCATATTTGGAGAGTTCAAACATGACTCTCCCATGGATCTCGATAATGTACATAAATCGGTGGAGACTGAGCACAATATGCTTTCGGACGGCCTAGAATATGGTAGCGATTCTAAAATTCGAATAATGCCAACAGTAAAGCTGCTTGCTACTCCCCATGCAGCGGATCCCAAACGAAAATTCGTATGCCCCTATGATAATTGTACGAAAAGTTATGGAAAAAGCTCCCACCTTCGCTCCCATCTGACATGGCACACAGGCATCAAACCATTCGTCTGCACCGAGCCCAAGTGCGGGAAGGGATTCACACGCTCAGACGAGCTGAATCGGCATTTGCGCACCCATACGGGTGAAAAGCCGTTCAAATGCATACATTGTAGTAAAAAGTTTTCACGCAGCGATCATCTGACCAAACACTTGGCCACCCACGACAGACAGCTGAAAAGTAACAATCCGAAACGTTCATTGCCTAATACAACCAAGGTGAAGGGTGCGAAAAAGAATACCTCTGATGCCGATTCGGGCTATCATTTTATGGCAGTAATCAATGGAGGGGGCGAGTCGAACCCAAATCAAAATCAAAACCATCAGCCGCAGCCAGCGCCAGCAGCTGGCTATGACCATGCCCCATTCAGAATTAAATTGGAACGACCCGAGCATAGTGACAAATATCAAATCATAGCCCCATTACCTGATAACCAATTGACGGCTGGCCTCAGTGACAAGCCGGATGTCAAGTATGAGCCTGCCGAGGATATTGCACGCACACTATCGCAATTGCCGCCACAGGACGGTGCCAGTACCTATGGGATGCCTCATTTTGTGCAGGATCGTCCATTTCGCTGCCGGCAATGTGAGAAGCGCTTCAAGCGTCAAGACGACTTGAATCGTCACAATCGCACGCATACGGGCGAGAAGCCCTATGCATGCACTCAATGTTGTCGACGATTCGTACGCAGCGATCACCTGAAAAAACATCAACAGACCCATTTAAAATCGCGATAGCTTCTTAGATAATAATTATATGTATACATATATATATGTTTTAAGAGCCAGTGGCATCATCCGAATAACTGTTAGTTGAATCAGGCACATGTTTGGGGGTAAAAACAGCAACAGCAACAACAACAACAAAACACAATACAATAAAAATTTGCAAAAAATAATATTGATTTTATTATATTCAGAGCTGAGATTCATTATATTAACAGAAAAAATGGTTGTATATTACAATACCCATGTTTTGGCAATATATCCTAAAATATTTTATCCAATTGGATTGTTATAAGGAAGTTCCTGAAGACCTTAGAAAGCGCTAGTATTTTGGATCATCCGAATTCTCTGGCATTCAGTCTACTGTTTAGCCAATAAGATGCCTCAGATTTTAAATATTTATTAGAATCCACTCTCTTTGCATCAATTTATGATTTTCGTCCACTTCGCAGAAGCATATGGGAAAACATAAAAAAAAAGAGTATTTCAGTAGGTAATGACCAACTAGGAGATACCGTAACGATATCTCGCGGTTGAGTCGAATGTTTTTGCCGACTTTTTTTTTTGCAGATAGGTGACATACTTCAGCAGTTGACTCTAATGCTTTTAAAAAATCCTATTAGAACTATCGCTTTAAGGATTTTACTCGTCCAAACTTAACATCTATTCTTTAACGAGCTTAAATCATTCCGCCAAAACAACATATACCAAATGAAGTGCAGGAATATTATTTGAAACTGCATATTTTAATACATTTTATATATATTGAAAATCACAACGTATTTTATTTATTAAAACTATTACGTTAATGTTTCGCCTTGGGTTACACAAGCCTCCAAATAGTCGATGCGGCGTTCCAGAACTGTCAGTTTTTCATTGAGCACAGCAAGACGCGATCGACAGGACATATCTGAAAATATAAAAGAAAGAGTAATATGTTTAGTATATATCAAGAAAATATAATATGGAAATATATTTATTATTTGCTTAAAAATATTATGAAAGTCATTGATTTTTCCAATTCAGAAAAATCAATCATATGAAGGCCATTTAGACCTTTAGAACTGTGACAAATACATTTTTTTTTCAATTTGCCACCTTGCCAAAGAGTTATATATTCAAGTGTATCACTTCTATTTATAACAGTCAGCAGTGTTCCACCTGCAAGATATGCTGATTATTCTAGGCCTTTAGCACTCCAAAACAAGTTTTTAGTTTTTTTTTTTTTTTTTCCATCGAAATTCGATACGCCCCTATTTGTCGGAGCTAACTAACCTTAAGTATCTACGTATTACATTTCAAGTTTCTAGCTTCCCATACTATATTTGTATTTATTTCAGATTTGCTATGCCCACAGTGGATGGAAAGTTGGCGACATCTTTATAATGGGTCTGTAACTTACCAACTTCTCTAAGTATTGTGTTTTCCGTCTTGCCACACCCACTAAAAATATGTTGACATTTTTATTTACTGCAAACATTAAGTTAGGAGCTTCACTAGGGTGGCATTGTCATGCCCCAATGTGGGTGTAAACAAATAATCAGGTGAGGGTACAGTTCGCGTACGGACGAACAAATATTGCACTAGACTACTATAGATTTTTAACGAGCGTGAAAGAGCGACAAAACCTTTTTAGGAAACATTGGATACGGTTGAACCTTTTTATTTTTTGTAAATTTTCTTCGTTTGCTGCCATAGTGAAATGGGATGAAAATATATAGTTTATGCACTGACCAATGGTCAGTGGTTTATGGCAAATCATTAGAGGTACTTTATGGTATTAATTTTGGCTATCGACGCACGTATACATTCCAAAGCTCAATTTTCTAGCACTTCAAATAACATCGGAAAATACTTCTTTCCAATTTTCCGCACCCCTCGTGGGCGTAACAATAAAATTTTAAAGCTTATCAGACGAGGGTACATACGAGTATATATTCCAAAGCTCAACTCTCTCTCTCCCCTTGCGAACAGCAAGACGTGTATTACAGGAAGTCAATATGATCACTTCACTTCTTGAAATACTCCATTCAAAACGCAAATTTAAGAGAAAATTAAAACATGAATTTCACCGACTAAAGGTACAGCAAAACGAAGTAGGAATAAGAGGAATTTTAGACTTTCAGTATTTGACTTAGCGAAAGCTATCGTTTACTTGGTTAATTCATTTATTTCATTATGAAAATCCGTCCGCTTTCAGATTTTTAAAATACACACAAAATACAAAACTAAATAATTACTGAATGTATGTTAAGGATTTTGTATAAAAGTATACTTTGAATATAAAAACTCAAGGCATCATAATATTTATTTAACAGATTGTATTCGTATATGTACTAATTAAATCAAAACCATTGGTCATTATTAAATTGATGATGGCATGTAACTTCTTACCAAATGAATTTAGAAAATCTGTGATGCGTTTTATGCTGGCTGTTATAACTTCAATGTATTCTCGGTTTGCCCAATCTTGATGAATTTGCTTTTGAACTGTTTCTCTATGAGCACCGCTCATTTTAAGGTTTTATCTTAAAATCGTATATGTTTTGTTTACACCTTAATTGGGGATGCTCGATATACACAGAATTTCAATTAGTTATCGATGTTATTATATATCGTTCTGATTCGATAACTGTCAAATTACACTACCGGAAAGCACTGTATTCATTATGTGGACCACAATTTTTTTTTTTTTTTTCAAACAGAAAAGCAAATTCTATCCTTCATATTTCATTTTAAATTATGTAAGAATTTTGCTCAACTCATAATGCAGCCAACAGTAATCAGTAAATAAAAATATATCAAGCATTTAAGATGTATATAATTAAATTATTTTTAGGAATTCATATAAAATAAATTA